TAAGTCTTCGATTTTGTGTGACATCAAACATAAATCATCCACGCGCGAAATCCAGGTCTTCTAGGTTCTTCACGTCGGTCCAGGCTATCCCTGTCTTCTCGTTTCCCACTGTCTGACGCATAATCCGGTCCAGTCCACCACAATTAGGAATATCATTGGTGATAATAAGCACCCTTTTCTGACTCCTGTGTTTACTCCAAAAAACGCCTCGCTGAGTTTTCCGTTGTGGATCACTTGACATGTGCCATTGTCGTACAGCTGTTGAATAAGGTTGATGAATATAGGAAATTGAGAGTTACTGGCATAACTCAACCTCTTTCTACTTTTACAATTTATTAGGTCATATATATATATATATATATTTATATGTATTCCTACCCATTCTTCTTTTTATTTTTCTCCTCTTATTCTTCCAAGAAAAGACAACTGAATCTGTTTGCAAGAGCTGACACAGACTCATGCTCACGTTCACACCAAACAAAATATTAAATTGTGTCTTTCTGTCTGTCTGTTTTCGACATAGAACTTTGCACATAAGTGCGGCAGTTCAAGTCGCCATACTCCCTTCATGTAGCACACAAAGCAAGAGAAGAAAGTAAGAAAAATGCATATTACAGACAGTAAAGAGAGGTGTGAGACAAAGGTATAGTAATAACGAAGAACAAAACAGTTTCATTGGAAATCATAAGTCACAAGGAGTGGATGCATCTGCGCCAGCCATTGAGAACGATTTTGAACCATGTCACCAATTGTTTCCAACAATTGGTTTTTACCGTCCCGAGGACCCCAACCAGTCAGGAAGTCTACACCTTCCTACGTGGCCTAGACTAACTGTTGTAGATTTCATTGACTGGTGCCGTGTTTTGGTCTGACCGCCGCTAGCTCTTTTCCAGCCTGACCCTATATCAGCTAACATTGCCCATTGTCGAGGAAGGCGATGACTAGGCACACGTAACACACGTCCTAACCATCTCAGTCGATGTAATTTCACAGTTTTGTCGACTGATTTCCCCGCCTTACCTAGCACTCGACAGAAGCCTAACCTCAATATTGCTCACCTGCAGCGACCAGGCTGGATTCAGGAAAAGCACATCATGTACAGATCAAATTGAAGAGCAACGCATCATCATCATCGAACAAAGCATACAGCGACAATCAAATCTCTGTCTCGACTTTTAAAAAGCTATCGATGGCGTTGACTGTGAAGTAATTTGGAATTTGCTTCAACACTAGGGACTGCAGTGCCCCAAACCTTTATCAACCTCAGTTAATAGATATGCGGTGATATAGCATGTCAAGTGATTCACAACGGAAAGCTCAGTTAAACTGTTGAGGTAATACAACAAAACTGTCCAGCATCACCGATGATATTTCTAATTGTAGTGGACTGGAAGCAAGAGGACAGGAGGAATACGTTGGGACTGACAAGAAGACTCTGGGAGATTGGGACTCTGAGGATGGCTTATATCTAATGTCATGCAAACTCCAAAATCTATAGGCGAAGACCGACACGTTGGTGGAAGAGGTAGACAGCAAACACAAAACTTCAAGTGAACGTACAGAAAGACAGAAGTGATGAAGATATTCAACAACAACCACCAGTCACTATTACCGGGGAAAAATTTCAAAGGGGGTAGCTTCTTTTACTCATCTAAGCAGCATCGTTTCAACTAGCAGGTAGATGGCACGGATGAAGATTTCAAAGCCAGCTAGAATCGGAACAGCAAGATAGACCTTTATTGATTTGAAATCACTGCGGAGATTTACTGCACTCGGCATCAACAACAAGATTCAAATTTTTAACACCAGTGTCAAGTTAGTATTTATGTATGGTTCAGAGACTTCCGGAAAGAATCACCAACAAGAAACTATGGTAAGAAACAAAACAAGAAGCAATCGCTCAACAAATATGCAGGAGAAAGTGGAGATGGATTGGACACTCGCTGGCTGAGGAGGCCGCTGAGTGACATCACGCGTCAGGCCAACGCTCGAGTGGAACCCGAAAGGGAGGCGGCGAGTGGAACGTCCAAGAATGACATGGAGGAGATCGTGTGAAGAGGAGTTGAAACAGTATGGATTCACACGGATGCAGGTGAAAAGTACAGCAGAAGACAGAAGCAAGTGGAGACGTGCAGTTGAAGCCCTATGTTCCACTAGGAACCCAAGGGAACAATAATAATTTTTAATTAATTTAATTTAATTTTGATTTACAGCTTGATGCCACACCGTATTTTTCAGTACAAGTGTGGAATTTTCAGCATGGATATCGGTAGCCCAAATTCAGGCCGACCATAGATATCGGGTGTGCGCCGGCAGGGGATCGAACCCCGGACCATGTGCATGGTCGGCGAGAGTCCTAACCACTGTGCCACCGACGCACATAATAATAATAATAATCAGAGACTTGGTGTGTCACTGGAAGCATTTTGCACAGGCTACTGAAGACTTTTATCAACAGGTGCCTTCACTGGTTCTACATTGAAGATTGGATGACTGGTCTGAAAGGATGAGCAACACATGGAACTCTGGTAACGAATCAACCAAGAAACTATCACCCAAAAACATATGCCGAAGAAAATAGAGGTGGACAGGACACACGTTGGCTGGCTTAAACTAACTGTTGTAGATTTCATTGACTGTTTCCGCCATGTTTTCGTTTGACCGCCGCCAGCTCTTTCCCAGCCTGGCCCTATATCAGCTAACATTGCCCATTGTCGAGGAAGGCGATGACTAGGCACACGTAACACATGTCCTAACCATCTCAGTCGATGTAATTTCACAGTCTCGTCGACTGATTTCCCCGCCTTACCTAGCACTCGACAGAAGCCTAACCTCAATATTGCTCACCTTATTATACCATTTCACACGGGAGATAGAACGCAGACACCTATGACCGAAGACAACTAATCTTTTCATGTCTTCTGCTCTCAATGGCCATGTCTCACGGCCATAAAGGAGGACGGAGCGGACTGATGAGCAGTACACACGCCCTTTGGTTGATAGTCGAATATCACGTCTACGCCAGAGACGGCGTAAACTGGCATATGCGAAACTAGCTCTCTGTATTCGTGCTGAGATTTCGTCGCCAATCAATCCATTGGTGCTGATACAACTTTCTAAATAAGTGAAGTGGTCAACGTGCTCTACCACTTCACTTCCTATTTTTAATCTAGGGGTCGGTGTAGTCCAATCCTGCAACATCGTCTTACATTTTACAGGGGCGAATCGCATGCCAAACATACGAAGATTGCTGCTCAAGGTGTTCAGAAGACTCTGCATTTTGTCAGCGTCCTCGCCTAGAAGGACTAAAATATAAAAATCTCAACCATACTCTATTTAGCACGGAAGTTGCATGAAGAAAGGAATATAGGAAATGAACTGAAAAATCTACGTTATAGTCTAGCATTATTATTATTATTGCATTAACTAACATTCTACTTACTTCAATCTTTGAGGTTATGCATTTTGATTTTATTCGTATAAGGAGGAGTAAAATTGTTGCTTCTTTTAGTTTCACCGCTGTGCAAACAACCTTTCTGGCATGATAGGACCAGTGAAAAAACATTAGTTCCAGTCAGTGTAGCTGTTTAGGACATTGTGATATGCAAGCCTGAGCACTAACTACATCAGTGTAGCAGCTATCATCGGTTAGGACATCAGTGTCAGGAATATCTATGCCACTATTAGTTCGATGTTTGGAAATTTTAATCCGATCTTTATTTTGGCTAATTGTAACTTCTTTCACACATACTTGACAGTATGATGGTCGTTTTAACTATTGAGAATAACGAATAACTTAAATCATTCGGCTTTCTGCCGACAAACTGTGGGTTCGAATCCCATCCCACCTATCCCCTTCCACTCAAGTCCTTCAGTTGCGTCATAACCCCTTGAGCACAACAAGTATGCTTCATAGCCCAGTACATGAAAAATTTGTTTGGAAAAAAACTGAATTCTAACTGACTAACTAATATGGTGTGGTGCTGACGTATTCAGTGTTACAATAGCTGATTGGTCTACGAGCTCGCCATGTAACCTGAAGCTTACGGGTCCGAACTCTGGTGGGCGCGTCTGTCTGTCTGGATTCAACATAGAACTTGGCACCCAAGTGCAGCAGTTCCAGTTGCCACGTTCCAAATACCACACAAAGGTAGACAAGACAAGAAGATGAGTGAAGAGAATCAATAGAGTTTTGACAAGTATAAGAGTGAAACAGAATGAGTAATGCTAGAAAGGAATATGAAAGATTACAGAGACTGAATACATCTGCGTAAGCCATTGACAACGATTTTGAGTCATGTCACCTATTGTCTGTCTCCAGCCATTGATTCTTAGAGTCCCGAGGCCGGGCCCCAACCCGGAAGTCTGCATCTCCCTACCTGACTCAGTTTAACTGTCAAGGATTTCATGGATTGATTGATGCGATGTTTTTGTTTGGCCACCACTTACTCTTTTCCAACCTGCACCTATATCAGCTAGTAATGCCCGTCCGTTGGGGGAGGCGATGGTTAGGCATGCGCAGCACGTCACCTAGCCATCTCAATCTATGTAACTTTATAGCCTCTTCGATTGATTTTCCCTCTTTACCCAACACTCTACGCCTAACGTCAACATTACTTACCTTATTATGCCACCTAACGTGAGAAAGAGATCGTAGACATCTATGATCAAAAACAGTCAACCTTTTAATGTCTTCAACTCGTATTGGCCATGTTTCAGAGTCATAGAGAAGGACGGAGCGAACTGGTGAGCAGTACACACGTCCCTTGGTTGATAGCCGGATGTCACGCCTACGCCAGAGATGGTGTAACGTAGCGAAAGCAGCCCGAGCTTTTTGGATCTGGTGGGCGAGTACTGCTAGAGAGTCCCAAACTAGGATGAAACAGCTGTCCAGGACTCTTGTGATAAAGCCTGTAACAAAACAAGTCGTTCAGCACAATATATCATATATCATATATAAATATTTGAGAAATATTCATAGCGTTAAGTAATTAACTTACCATTTCGAAAAATACACATCCTAAACCAGAAAGTATTGAAGCACACACCACACAGAATAATCCTAAAGGAGGATTATGCGCTGCTGGCTGCAGCAGTGTAGATGTTTTACTGTCACCAGGTGATTCTACTGCTGCAACACCAATAAACAATAAGACTAAAGCGAACCATTGCATTGTACTGACTGGTTTTCGAAGAATAAGCATACTGAATAGTGCTGTTGTGAAAAGTTTCAATTGATAAGCCACCTAAACTAATCGATATATTTTTACTAACAGATAATTCTACTTACCTGAAATGTAACAGCATCCAAATTACTTAAAGCTGCTATCAAGAAACGATTCTGTATGACATAGATTATAGCAGGTATAAAATTCATTAATACATCCAATGGGTTGCGTTTCATGAGTTTATAGGTTCTTTTCAAATCTCCAGCATAACTCAGAACAAGAAGACATGTGATAAATTTCACGCATTCACTCATTGTAACCATAGACGATGGGATAAAAACTTCTGTTGTTCGTGATCTTGCATGACGCATGCATAAGATATAGAGTAGATTTTGAAATACAAGAATGAACAAGCTAAGATACTTCATGGTTACTGCTTTAAACATTGTTATAATTGGACGATAGTTTTGGAAGGCCTACAATAAATAATAATAACAATAATAATAATAATTTGCTTTATTCCAGAAACAGTACTAGTGGTACAGTGTGGAATTTTCAGCACATATCTACAATATTTGCATCTAATTTTATCAAACATTTAAAAGTATTTCAAAAAAATAAATATAAAGACAACAACAGCAAAAAAAAACAGGAAAAACACAAAATAATTTTTAAAAAATGCGAAAAAATACCAAGAAGTAGAAAGGAAAATAAACAGCATATAATAATATCTCAGTATTGGGTAGTGGAAGCTATGATATGATTATGCATGGTGACAGTAAAGCTGTAGTCATACAAGAAGTTATGAAATGATATTTAAGAATGTTTATCGCCAAGATGATCAGTTAATTTGGTTGAAACAACTCTAAACAATCATAAAATAACATTTCAGGGTTGTTGTTTTGTTTCTTATTGTCAGGTCTAATGCTGTGTTTGTAGTGGTAGTGTGAGTAATCCTGCATAATACAAAATTCTAAGATGGTGATAATGGCTTTCAGAACCAATGATCGTCAGTTAATATTGCCGAAAAAAATAAAAAATAAGAAAAAAACAACCACAAAAACTAATAATTACATGATGGTTAATGACAGGAAAATTTTGTACTACTCATAGTGCTAATATAGTCGGAACCAGTAGATACACAAAAGAAGGAATAGAGTAAAGTACAAAAAAGGAAACCAATGTTAATAATTTAGGTAGCTAAGTATGTTTAAGAAGGAGTTCACTATAGAATACAAAATAAGAGAGAAATAAAAGAACCTGAAATTATGTTATTAACAACAAAGCAAGTCATAGGTTTCACGCTTAACATTGTCTCTGTCGCTTAGAACACGGGCCAAGTATGGTATCGTTGAGTTCCTGTACTTGGTTGTACGAGCATATATTATTTTATACTGATTTCTGGTTCTACTTGATGAGATACAAGGCGAGAGTTGGGAATAGAGGGGGTGTTGGGGGTCGGAGAGTATGGTTTTAGACCATTTTTCGCATGTATTCAGATGCCTTTCAACTAATGTAGTGACGAGCTGACTGAGTTTTACACCACTAGTCCTACTAACTACCTTCAACATCCTTCTCAGGATGGTGTAGTCCTTTTTCAGTAGCCCAGGAAAGACTAACGGGGAGCAGTAAAGTAGAATAGGTAAGATACAAGAGTTGACAAATTGTGAAAGTAGAGATTGGGTGATTCCAGATTGTCTAAGTTTCTCAATGTAGTAGGTTAGACAGAAAACTTTCTTAGAAATCATTAGGATATGAGATGTCCAAGTAAGGTCGGAAGACAGAACTAAACCGAGGTATTTTGCATTAGATTTAGTTTCAATTTTAGTCCCCTCAATACAACAGGCTTCATGAGAACTTACTAGTGTTTGTAGATCTCGTTTATGCCTAAGGGAGAAGTCAATAGTCTGGCATTTTGAGGGATTCAGCATGAGACCATTTAGTTTAGACCACTGACTGATTTCCGACAGGAAGCTAGAATCCAAACGGGTCGAATAACGTGTGAACTTGGTTTGATCACCGCCAACCAAAGGAATGCAGCTCCACTGATTTGTGAATCAGACTTGAAGTTAAAGCCTCGGGGTGATTTCTTATGACAAGCACCTGCTCTAGTCTGGGTGTCCGGGCAGTATCGCAGACTTTGCACAGACGATAAAATAAATTTTGTGTGGCGCATCTGTTAGTTCCCACAATGTACTAAGTATTTATTTTACCAAATAAAATAATCTTGAAAGGTGACTTAAAAAATAGTGATGTTAACGATAAAGTCAAGGGACATATATATTTATATGCTTACAGTTTGGGGTGTGTGTGAGCATTGCCAGTGAATGGTTTCAGTGGGCTAGTGGACATCTTACTGATGTGCTATATATATTTTCAGTAAAATTTTGCAAGTCTGGTGGGAATTTCTCAAGACTAATTGAAATGACTGATATAACACTTAACACTACTGGTGTGTATGAGTGCAATTTATTATACTTTACAATTATATATTGTGTAGGAGGGTAATATAGTGACTGAAAAGCAATCTAATATATGGAAATCAGAAGTGGTAAACCAGCATTTAAACTAAATAAGAGGATGAGTAAATAAAGAAAAGAAATTAACAAGAGCCTCTAACTCTATATATGATAGATTACAAATCATATCATTTAGTCGTAAATTATCGACATTCGTTTCTGAAAGGATCTAAGGTTAGCAAATCTTGCTCATTTTTTTTTATCTCAGACTGAAAGCACTCTCCACAGTTGATGTAATGTTCGACCATCCTTAACTAAATCGTAGCTTAATACTGTCACACCCGACCGATAGCTGCTACCTTGACGTGGTGGTCGGGCTTGCATATCGCAATGACCCAACGAGCTACACTGGCTGGAACTTATGTTCCAGTAGGTCCTACCATGCCAGAAAGGTTGTTTGGATAGCGGTTAGACAAAAAGCAGCTACCCAATCCAATACTATGATTCAAACAAATTCACAAAATATCATGCCGGATCGGTCGGGGCCCGGATTAACAACGACCGCGCTTCCTGCTGCCGTGTCACAGGGCAGAAGTGATAAATATGCTACTGAGACACACCAAACAAAAAAGAACAAACAAAAACAGGCCGCGTGTGACCGGCCTCAAGCAGTTGTCCCCTGGGCTCTGTGGTCACGCAACACTTTCTGTTTCAGGTTCCTGAAGAATCAATCAACTTCCACGGTGTGGGCAGCCGGGAAGTAACAACCGCCCACACACTTCCAAAAGCAAACGAAGCCTTCCTGAGCATCACTCTCCCTTACTCACATCACCTTCCTCATCTTGCTTTTCTACTACAGTTAGCACTATTCTGCAGGCAAAAGAAACGTGACTGTATTTTGAGCATACCTTACCCGTATCAAAAGAGTATATATAACAGTTAACTGGTTCACCTATATTACATGAGACTGCAGGTCTTAACTATACTATACTATACTAGCGTGATGGTTTCGTAACCTGCAAGCAATGCAACGAAGGTAATGGGGACTGGATATTTGAAATTTTAAGTCTTCAGTCCTCAATGGGTTTCACAGTCTTATGATGAAGCAAAATGCACTCCTGCAGAGTATATCAATTTGTGGAAAGATATTTTTTTAGTTTCTAACTTATGAAAGTCAGTGGAATTTTTCCGTTCAAGTGATCAATGCATTTAACTACTCCACTTTCTGATATGTAAGAGGAGCTTGGACATTATGGTAGTATAACATTTTGTATTAGTGAAAAATGTACAGTAATTAATAAAAAGAGGACTCTCTTCTTACGAAGATATGCATTTACACACTGTGAATGAAATTCCATGGAAAATAAATAAAACTATTTCGTTTTGTTATGTGGAATAAACGAACTGATATGGAATTTCTTCACTTTCTATTGACACACCAGTTTTAAAGAGAGACATTTTACATTTGCATTTCAAGATTTGCATGTCTTTAAAAAGACTGAGTTGTCTCAGCATCCACATATATCGTATTTAGCATCAGTGTAATATACAGCTACCTATGAAACTGTATGTATACTGGGAAGTATTCCACTCTGTATCCGACTTTACAGCCAGGGCATGTGCACTAAAATTGACTAACAATTGTTAGTTGACGCCTAACTTTACCAAGACGAGATGTGGTATTAGAAGAATCGTCTTTTCCATTATTTGTGGGTTATGGTAGAGTTATAAGCTGAAGAGAGTGATAAGTTTAATCATATCGAAAACACGGAGTTGGCCAACTCCCCCTAGATTGAATCCTACTAAACCATTGGGAGTGCCGGACTTTTGTACATACGTTTTTGTTTTTACTGAATAAAGTCGCTTTGCTACTATCTTGCTTGCTTAAAATATGTACCTTGTGGAGTGTTATACGTAGATATGTGACGTTTTTAAAAAATGGAGACTTAGTGTGTGATTATAAGGTTTAAAATTGGCGTACCAGGTTAAAAGTACTTCTTGTTTTTTACACATGGACTAGCTGACGCAAAACTTAAGTTTAGTGGGGAATTCGCGACTAAAAAGCTTGGGAAGATACACTGCATTTCTCCAAAGCCCCGAAATTATCCCAAACTGTCTAATAAGGTTCGGGCAAAACTGCGGGAACTTCAGGTAAGCATATTCCAATTCTCAAAGTTCTTCCAAAGTTGCTAGAGTGCTTCCAAACGTTTCATTACCTCGGTGGAATTATATAAAATTCCAGATTTCAGATTTATTGGTTGAGGATAGAAGGCTTGGAGCCGATGTTAATCCTTTTCTAGTAAATTTATACATATCAGTAAAAGAACGTTCTTTTACAGATTGTTAATCACTTAAATTCTGTAAGGATAAGATGGGCTGGCAAAAATCTAGCATTCATTGTCCCCAGTGTTAAGGATGGTATTTAAGTTTAGTTATAACTTACTGAATTATGACTTTATTAACTTTCCATGAAAGCATATTAATTCAAAGCCTATTTTTTTTAAATGTTTGATTGCAAAAAACATCACAAAGAAGACATGTATATGTTTAAGGGCAGGAGAAATTCACAGTTGAAACAGAGGCACCTACTGTAAATATTTAGTATTGTTGCGCAGCAAGAGAACAAATGACCTTGCAAATTCAAATTTTGACACTGACACATGTTTGAAGTACGTTCAACACCAGCTTCTGATATATAATTGGATTTTTGTCCAGTACAAGTATAATATTATCCTTAGAAATCGATCAGAAAGTGAAAATTTCCTTAATTTATACAGAAATTTTCGGCTTTAGCTACTCCTCACCAAATCTAAGTGGTGCACGTTCCATGGTACAAGAATAAACGCTAGAGAAACTGAGGTCAATTAAAAGTACCCAAATTACCTTTTAGCCTACTCGCACATAATCCAGGTGTTTTGGGTTCTATTTCTACTGATACACACCGTATCAGACTAGGACGCTATTTTACTCTCTTCCCCGGTGCGTCACTTCTAATGAAGTGAATAATCA